TAGTGGCATCCTTAGGGGCCGTATTAGGGACATCTGGGGTAGATTGAAAATGGAGAAGATGATCATATTCGCTCGCGAGGAAGCAGCGTCGTATGTAAGATCGTATTCAGCCTTAGGGGAGGGTGGAACGATTGTGAAGGAGGGTCGTGTTCAGTCGCTAGCTGAGGGACGCATCTGAGCTGTAGACAGGTTTTTTCTGCCAGTAAAAATCACTCCGCAAAATCACTCAAGCCCTGCACCTCGGACAGGGTGATAAACCACTGAGCTTCTCATAAATTACACGTAAGATGACTAGGCAACATTTGAGCGGCTGCCATTGTACCCAGAAATCGGCAAGCCCTAATATTTGACCCACCAGCTGGCTCTGCAAACGTTGAGAACAACTCAAATGACTCTACAAGAACAAATACAGTGGTCTCAGCTAAAAAAACGTTTTGCACAAGGATTAAACCCCACTCCAGCAGCGAATTCGAGCCCATAAACTCGCCTTAGTAAATCTGTTCCAATCAAAATCAGTAAATGCTTCCAAGGAAAATCAAATCGAATCAGCTTCCAATGAACCAGGAAGGGATGAGCACGCTTAAAGTCACTAATCGAAGATTTTCTTCACGCCAATAAGACCTCACTAGGGCCAGAACACAACTCCTTCTCCTCAATTTGGGAAGTCTTCAACAGTGATGGGCTCTGGTTGGGACCCACACGGAACACCTCTTTTCCTCGCTTTTTTTTGAAAGTAGTTTTTTGTAACTCTCAACCTTGACCCTGCCTTAGACCCTGTCCGGTCCAATGGTTCGTACCATTTCCACTACACTCATCCAAGCCAAACCAGGCTTATAATCGCGTCAGGACTAATCAATTTACTATTGAGCTGTTCCCTGCATTCTTCTCATCCGTGAACATAATCGAAAGTGCAAGAGCAGCAGTTTTGTTCTCTTTCATCATTCAAATTCGTGACCAAACCTCTATTCCTAGGCGACCGCTGACGCTATTTAGGAAGAAACCGAACCACGAGAGAAATGGTAAGCAAAACAGGACAGGGGAGATAAATGGGACCAGAAAGCACCATGCCCACCTTAATCTGTTCGGCTAGCATCCTATCCAATTGTCGCATAAATTCCTCGTCTTCCGGTTGAATCGCCGGTTTCTCCACATGTACGCAAACCTTCTCGTCCGCATCATCTTCGGCGATTATCGCTGGCGGTCGCTCACTGTCGCTACCGTATTCCTCCCTATAATATGAAATCGTACTTCTATCTGCATGTGTCCCTCTCAATTTGGCAAAAATTGTCTGATTTTCCTCCCACATTCCAAAAAAAATCCTTCCAATCAGGAGAAGGAACTGGAGTTTCACACGTATATGAGCTTCAACCTTTTCCAAAGGTTTGGAGAGAACAGTGGTCTTTCAAGAAGTAAGCAGCTACAGTGCTGTCAGCTGTGAATGCTGGGGCAAGTCGGGCGGGCCAGATTTGGCGCGGTGCCAGTCCGTTTTCCAAGAAATTTTGTCGCTTCTTGCCACAACAGCTGCTTCAGAACGGGCTGAAGCGACAGGAAAAACGGGTTGGCGCCGCGCCAAACCAGCCCCCGACACGTTCCAGCATCCGCAGCGATGAGGACTGGTAGGAAGCAGATGTGGTGTAGGTGCGCAGTACTTGCTTGAAGGTATATGACGCTTTGACGTCACAAACTCGACTGCTATGCCTTGGGACTTCATTAACATTGATACCATGAAGGTGTCCTCGCCGATTTAACGCTAACAAATCAGTGATCGCCAGGCGCTCTTCGACTATGGAGGTGCCTTTTCCACTTTCGCTACTTCCTTTGCCGCGGAACGTACACAGGAGCCACTTTGATTACAGTAGTTCACAGGACTTTACAAGGTGGCCTGCAGAGGCTTGGGTGAGTACCATTTGGTGCCCCCACCAAAGCCGAA